GGCAAGCCTTTAAAAAAATTATAAGCTTATTTGTTTGTTGAATTTTCATAATGCAGCTCCATATTCGTGCTATGGGCTGTAAATGATGCCAAATGATTGTCTAAAAAAAAAAAGGTGTTAACAATCAAATAAACAAAACAAAACAAAAACAAAAACAAAAAAACAAAAACAAAAAACAACAATGGAATGTACCACAGCTAAAAATATAAATAGATAAAAATTACAGTACTACGCTCTCCAATATTCTCAGTCCCTCGCCTCCTACTCTCTTCTCCCTCCCCCATTCCGCTGCCCTCGTTAATAAGTAAACATCTGCAGATAAAAAAATCGAATATAACAAAACAAACCAAAAAAATAACCAAAAAAGACAAATAGATGAATACACATTCTATGTGTACAAAGTTAAAATTTAAGACTTATACTTTTGGCACCTATGGAGTCATTCTGTTGTGTGTGCTGAGTATCTACCTGTCGAGGGAAACAAGGCGAGTATTAGTTTTACAGTCCTATATGAGCTTGACGGACTACATACATTATTTTCTCAGCATGGGATTTGAATCACATCTATAACAAACAAAGTGAAACACCGTAATTTAATTTAAAAATTGTATCACAGTTACTGATAGTGTACCTTAGATAATCCACTCTGTGCCTATTCTTAAATGATCATTAAATACAGGCTCGTAGGGAAAGGTCATCCTCGAACTTCACATTCTTCATCGACTCGAAACTTATGTTTTAAGATAACCTAAATGTAATATTCTTGATCGACATTAAACTTTACTGAAAAAGATACCCCGTTATATCTTAGTCTTTATTGGCTTTGAACATAATACATACAAATTAACTCTTTTTCCTTTTTCTTTTTTTTTATCAGATCCACCGTTCTTGACTATAATTAGCACTGACGGTTTCCTGGGAGAACAAGCTCTTGACGACTACGAGGACGAGGAACCTGATGACGAGGAGCAGCAAAAGGGAGAAGCTGGCGACGGGGCAGATGTAGGCGTATCGAGGAGAAGCAGTAGGCGGAGTCGAGTGGAGGAGGAGGCGGAGCTCGCAGAACGGAGCAGACGAGTGGGTGTGGCCTCGTACCAAACTGAGACGGCGAGTGAAGGGTCAAGGGAACGAACGTCCAGGCAAATGTCTCAAGACTCTGGTAAGACTTGGTGCAATGAACACGCATGGTGTATGTGGGCCATTGGTTTTCCCCTAGCCAGCAGGAAATCTGACAAAGTGCTCGCGAAACACCGCTGCAATGAGATTTATTTCACACATGCTTTAGTGATCCAACAGCATTCTTATATTATTATCACTAATCGCTGTCACATAAATATTATATCATAAAACCAGTTAAGATCCAGTGTTTGCGGAGATGATTATCACACACACACATACACATACACACACACACACACACAATCACACACACACACACAAGCACACATCACATACACATACACATCACATACACACACATCATATACACACACGCATGCAGACACATATACCCCCACAGATAGAGAGAGAGAGAAAGGGAAAGAGACAAAGAAAGAGAAAGAGAAGGAGAGGGGGGTGAGAAAGAGTGAGAGAGGGGTGAGAAAGAGAGAGAGATAGAGAGAGAGATAGAGAGATAAATAGAGAGAAAGAGAGAGAAAGAGAGAGAGAGAGAGAGAGAGAGAGAGAGAGAGAGTGTGTGTGTGTGTGTGTGTGTGTGTGTGTGTGGGTGGGTGTATGTGTGTGTGTGAAGGAAAGGGAAGGTAAGGTGATTTTTTTGTTAAGAAGTGGAAGGGGTTGTTCTGCGTGTAATCCTCATCTACACCACACCTACAGTCGTCTACTTATTTTCCCAGGGGGGCTCACTATGTCTGAGCTGACGTCCGATCAGACCACGGTGAGAATCGACACAGGCTATGACGACTACATGAGCGAGGATGACGTCACCAACAGCGGGCGACCAGAGCATAGGACCAGCGTCGCGAGCAGACCGAGCCGTGACTCGGAGGACAGAGGTGGGCCTCGTGCTCGTTGTCAACGATTTCTCAACTCCCTGTGTAACGTCATAATGTCTTGACTATTTGAAGTTCTTGGGAATGAGCGTTACGTGTTTTGCGTCTTTCTCTTTGATCCAAACACTTTTATCTTGGGAATTTATACACACAGATAATAATAATAATAATAATAATAATAATAATAATAATAATTTTCATCATCATCATCATCATCATCATCATCATCATCATCATCATCATCATCATCATAATGTATATTATTATATAATATACAAATATGTAAATATATATTATTAAACCTCTTTTCTACAAACAGAGCATAATATATAATTAGCATAGAAGAGATTGCAGCCTGCATATTGAATGCATTTGGAATTCTTAAAATAATTTTCTGTTCTCTTATCCACTCGTTCCAATTATTGTCTGAGTCTCTCTCGGTCCTCTTCTTTTCTTTTCTCTTAATTCCAGGAACACAATATTATGTATCGGTGACGAATCAGACAGGCGGGGTTAGTTGCGACCTCATTACCAAGGACACACTCTCTGTGCTGCGTTATTGCATTAATACTTTAGGCGAATAACTTTAGCTGAGGACTTCGCTACGTAATGGGGGTAAAAACATTCCATCGGAGATTAATTTGGTGTCATTGGAGCCAGAAAACCTCCGTCTGTAACAAAATAAAAATCGGCATGAATCAGAAAGGGGCAAATGATTTGTTAAGAAAGCTGTTGAATATACATTAATGGTTTAGTATCGAGATGGTTTTATTATAATATCAGTACCAAATTTTTTCAGAATCGCACGCCGTACTTCACAACATGTTAATCCTACATCACTGCAAGGGACTCTGCTCCTTACCACTTACGTTTCATATTCTAACTGAACGACTTAAACCCATGGATTTTTATGAGGAGCCAAAACAAATTAGAGTAGTATTGTACAAGGCCCACGTCTCCTCTGTGTGCTTAGAGTGACTACATTTAACCCTTTTTCTGCCCGGCCCGAGTCTACCTCTCTGCTTCGAACTTTTTTGCTATACCCCGTATATCCCATCTCCCTACCATCTTCCACTGTTCCGTCTCCCCTCATCCCTCTCCCACACCAACACACCTCCTCCCAACCCTCCTTCCAACCCCTTGCTCCCAGCTCCAAACCCTTACCCCCTGTTCCCTGTTCTCCCAACCTCCCCCTACTCGCACCAACCTTTCCAAACCCTTCCCCTATTACCCCCCTCAACTCACTAACTCCCCCTATTACCCACAGTTGGCAGTACCGACGTCTCAGTTAAAACGTCACAGGATATGGTACTACCACTGCCGCGCCCACAAGTGGCACTATAATTAATCAGAAAGTTTTGCTACCTTAAGTTTGTTGAAATTTAATATGACTTTAAACATAAATACATTTGTTCATTTTTTATGGGTTTGTTCATTTGCAAACGCCATGTGCAATCACAGTAGGATAATTCCAATTGACCACTTTTTTGCAACGAAACCCAAGCACACGTTAAAAGAAGACAAACTACGCAATAATATGTAAGCATCTGGTCTGCTATAGTTTTTGTTGGCCTTATTTCTGCACATTAAGGTGGGGATGGTTCTTTTTTCAAAATCACTAAAGGTAGGTAATTAGGTTTCCTTGACTTCGTGGCTGAGAGGAAAAATAATAAAACAAAACAACAACAACAACAAAAACACCGTTTGAGAGTCGGCAGGGGGGGGGGGCAAAGTTTTGTCAACACGAAGGTCGTCTCTGCGAGATCAGCTCACTGTTCCTTTACGTTGTGCGGTTGAAAGTGTTGACGGTTATTTTGAGCCGTCAGTGGAGAGGGGACGACGACGATAGATCTTTCAGTTTTAGTAAGAGTTTTACGGCACTTGCAACACAATAAGGTCATATAAGTGCCAAAGATTAGAGGTGTTACAAGAGAGTAACAAACATAAAAAAGGAGGAGAGATAAAGACGATAGTTGTTTAATAGGAAAGAAGGAGCAAACCACACCAGAGCACCCGCCAACCACCCATGACGATAGATCTGCCAAAAATCTAAAATCAAACTAAAAAGTAGTCTACAATTAATTATTTTTTCCTCTATAAATTAAGATTTATGGAACGCGCTTTTTGTCGAAGATTTGCCTTATCACCCAATTCTAGGGCCAAGCAGTGAAGGGGTTTTAAAAAAACCCAAGGCTTTACAACGTTTTGTGTGAATGTTTTCCTCCACACCGAAGCTGTGCATTCCAAATGTGTACAAAACATTCTGAAGTCAAAAGGTACTTGGTTAATAATCATTTTAGATAAATCTACAGAAACGTTTTGCTCTATTGAGCGCATAAAACACAACCCATTTTCAGCCACATTTGTACATCATGACGCATTAGTTCGCATAGGGCCCGCCATTGAAAGTCCCAATGATCACACCACATTGCAAGCTACAGTAGTCTAACAAGTCAACAGAAGTTTGCAGATATTGTTTTTCTCAAGTTTCCTTTGCCTGCTGAGATCATAGTTAGGATTAGTAAAGAGCAGAGAGCTTTTTGTATTTCCTCACCGCCATCTCATTTTGTAAGTTTCGCACAAGGTACGGAAATAATGTTAAATTTCCTTTAAGACCTTATTCGATATCATGGATGGAGATGTTCCATCAGTTAGGATCTGTAGAGAATCAAAACTAAAAATTCCCAGAAAAAAACGACCACTTCAGGTCAAACACACACCGTTTGCACTCCTTTAAAAGTCACAAGGGTGCAGAATTCAATAGATGAGTCCCATGAGACGTCTCTTCGTAAACGATATCTGCTGCTAGGACTTTCCTACATCTCAATTCTCCGCATTCTTAAGGCAGATTCTCATCTAAAACTGCACCATTTCTTGCTCGTGAAACTGATATAGATCAGAGGTTAGCAATGTGTTCATGATTTTTCGATCGTCTTGATACGCGTAAACATTTCCTCCATGACATTTTGTTCATAAGGAAAGCCCGTATTCATCTTCCAGGATATGGTTCCACAAATGCTGTTTATTGGACAACCCACCCACCCTCCCCCTCCCCCCATTGTCTCTAGAAACAACTACATACTGACTTTGAGCACACATGGTTAGGCGGATCCTTTTGTTCGGCCATCACTGAAAATTACCAACTACGCTTTAAAATGTGTCGAGTCTAAAGGAGGACATACAAAGCAATTCCAGAATATATTTAAAAAAATTTAAACTACATAAGAGAAACGAATTATCATTTAAATATTACAGGAACGGAAAATTAAAATTTTACTGAGAAAAGGTAGAAAAAATCCAAACCAATCATTTCACGTCTTCACTTACAAGATTTTTTTTTTTAATGGAGCATTTTTTGCGTTTATGGGAAGTTTAAAAAAAATCAAATTTCGACTTTGAAAATAGGTTTCCTCCATATGAACTGAATTTAATGTCAAACAAATTCCTTTTGCTTGAATTATATCTGTTTCAAATTGCAACATTCTAAGATAGATTTTGTGCGGCATATTCAGAAAAAAAAGCCGTACAGGTTTTTTTAGGGGATCACCCTGTGCCTTGAGTAATCGATACTAGTAACCACTGGAACTAGCTATTTATAAAGAGAAGAATGAGATGGGAGAAAGAAGGGAAGAAGAAGAAGAAGAAGAAGAAGAAGAAGAAGAAGAAGAAGAAGAAGAAGAAAAAGAAGAAGAAGAAAGAAAGTCACCATTAGTCACTGACATTTCTGTTGTGGACAAAGCAATTTCAGCTAACATTCTTTATAATAAGAAGTGATTTTTTTCGGATGTGCTATTTCGTCTGCATCATTGTCATCTTGTGTTATAGCTCCCGATTTTTGAACAACTGAAATCTTTGTATTCTTTGCAGATAGGAGAGCAATCTAGTTCATTTTTCTTGCAGGCGGTGATTTTCATTGAACTGCAATGTAAATATACACGAATGTCTCACAATATCGAAGAGGCACTGTTGGCACTGGTTTCATGTCCATATGAATTGGAAAGAGTTTACCTTAGTCAAATTTTCAGTCCAAGCGCTGAGGTTGAAAAACGGTACCCGAGAGACCACTGCTAGACTTAGATAATAATATACACTTTTAAAGAATGATACTCTGTATCATCTCCTCGCCATGAAATGTTCTCTCTTCATCTTGAGTCTTTATGTTGTGTTCAAAGTTGAATGCCACAAACTGAAAACAGCTGTGTGCCATAGTAGTGAACATTGTCTGTAAATGACCCAACGGTAGCATTCATTTTAAATCTTTGAACCTCTGCGTTCAGTGAGTTCACATGAAACTTTGAGGAGAATCGGCGATGGTAAAAAACACAAAATCCTAATTGTAAGGGAGCACTCAAAGATTTCGGTCGAGCGCCCACTTTGACCACAACGCCACACGACATTTTTTCCCTCTTTGTTGACAATTCTGGAGTAGAGGGGGGGGGGGGTTAACGTGGGGGGGGGGGGCGTAGGCTAAGGTGAGGGAGCGTGGGCAAAACAGAACAGCCAGCTGCTGCTCACCCTGTGTGCTTGGCGTGAAAAGCGGAGGAATGTATGTTTTCATTAAGGTACTAGCGCAATGATTGAGAGGAAATTCTCCCTCAGCGGGAAGAAGTTAGACCAAAGTATGGACTCTTTATCATTCGCCGCCGATCCTACTATTTAAATCCTTGTTTTGGGTTGGGGGGGGTTGTTTTTATAGGGGAGGGGGAGTTGTTGCTAATTTAGCTCTTACAGCCACATCCTGTCTCAGCAAAAGGAACCATAATGAAATTGTGTTGTCTGTTTATTCTCGCCCGACTAGACACAAATCAATCATGGTTTAGCCAGCAGACACTAGGCTTAATAAGAGGTCACTTTTAAGGACAAGCGGGCTAATCCAGATTTCGGATTTCGGGGATTTCCAGAAATCTTGACCTACTCCAAAAGTGGGCATTACCCTACCTATAGGAGAAGTTTGGTTTCATTGGTGTGTATATTTGTTCGGTTATAGAAAAAACTCTCCTTGTCTTTTATGGAATCTGAAGAGGAGTCCAAAAACATTACCTTTGGTTTTCTCAGAACAGTATTTTGCGGGATAGCCCCCATGTGCTTAAAAGCGACCAAATGAAACGACCATCAGCATCATCCATTTAATAATGTATTTGTAGAGGCACCATGCAGCCATCCAGGTCTGTTTTAGCTATGAAATGAAATGATGAGTCACACACACACACACACACACACACACACACACAAACACACACAGACACTCACACACACACACACTCACACACACACTTACTAACGTCAAGTAATGTGGCTTAGTCCTAGGTGGTTTTTTGGGGGTTTCGTTTTTTTTTTTTGTGGGTTGGTTTTTGTTTTTTCCTTTTCCCTGAGCGATCCTGTTCGTCGTGTTCTCGTTCTGACGCAATTTTAAATAACTTCCTCCACGATTTCGAATGCCGATTTTATCTGTCGAACCATATAATTTTTTATCCTTGTTGCAATGTTTTGAGGGTCGACCCTACTCTTTCGTCCACTACTTTACACTACACTACTTTGGTTTATACACGCTACGGGTACGTCTAGCAGCGTGCATGCTGTGTTTAAAACACGATGCTGTACAACCCGACCGTAATGACAACAAAATTTACGTCAACCTATGCATTCAATTTGCATACCTAAATTATTCAAATGGGGAATTCCATTTAAGAAATTAGTTTTGTATAGGGTTTTACGGCCCTCGCAACTGCAAAGGTCATATGAGCACGCATCTAAGCAATAACTTTCAATCCCTCGGAGGACTGTTAAAACATCGATGCCAAAGACCTCTGTAACCCCCCGTGTAAACATTTGAAATGCTAATTTATTCATTTTAACAAAAGTAAATACATTTGTGTCTGAACAGAAAGGTATTGATTTATTTTTTAAAAATTTCAGAACGATTTATTCCGAAAACAGTCTGTGGTCTTGATTTTAGAAAAATAATTTTTAAAAGGCGTATATGATATAATCATATTACCTAATGTAGATATTTTATAATAATATGTTTATTAGTAATATTATACCTGCATTAAGTTAATCGATGACTCAATTTTCTCTCCAGGCCGAGGCCGAAAAGTGTCAAGGATATCAAACGCCTCTTCCCATCCCCGCAGTCAAAGCGACGCCGGTGTCAGCAAACGGTGAGCCGCTAATTACTCGCATTTTAAACATTTTTTGCCCACATTTAAAGATGGAAAAAAAACCCATATAGAATATAACCTTTGTGAATCTGTAAGGTGTATAAGCGGCGCATGTCTTCTCCTTCGTCACCAGGAACAACCTGAAGAAGAACGACGGAAGTACTCGATAAAATCAGTGTTATTGTCTGTAATGCTTCGATTTCTCTAGTCACTGATCTATGAGAAAGAGCCAGCCCAGAACAACATTATGCAACGTGTTTTGGGTAGTCTTTAGTCGTGTTTTGCTTTCGGTCTCACGGTTTGGTGCCCCGTTAACACGGATGGTACCATGCTATATAACGGAGCAGATGACCCTGTTTCGACCACCCAGCTGTGCTGTTTAAAATTGGGTTGTTTTGGGTGAGTAAGGATTTCCACCCACTTGGTTCCGGAGATGGACGTTAAATTCGGAGGTCCCGTCTGTTAAATAACTTAACATTGTTGGAATACACTTTAAACCTATATGATGAACTATGGCTCACAGTAAGCACTGTTGGAATTTTTTAAAACTATGTGCTGATGAATTGACGTAAACTCACAACGGAGAAATGTGTAACCTTTGTTCATTTTTGGATGTTCAAGGCTCTTTTTCCGTTTCCTCATTCGATCAGAGATGTAAGTTGGGCTCTGAGCCAATTTTTGCAAGGAAGAGTTTGTCACATTTTAAGCATCTGAAATCTTCATTTATCACTTGCAGATATGCAAAGCTTGTGGACTTCTTTATTGACTTTATGCCAAGTGTTAATAAACAATAGCACCACATCGACTGGCAAGCAGTTGAAAGTTCTTGAAATAGTAGCAAAGGCAAAAGCACTCCTTGATAGTTTCAGCATTTTGCCCTTATGACTAATGCTACAAATGACATTGCAATACTCTTGAAAATACGTTTCAATATATTTTTTTTGCGTTACGTATTAGCGATTCACAGCTCAAAGTCAAAGTCACAGAACGATTTATGTCTTAAATATTGTTTTGTTTTTCAGATCTCCAGCCCGGGCGAGAACCTCATCGCGTTTTCCCGTCATAGACACAGCGAAGGAGGAGGAAGAAGCCGAACTGGCAAGATTGAGAAAAGAAAGTGAGCATCATTTCTTTCCGATTCAGAAAAGACAGAATGTTAATTTGCTTAGACTGAGAACTGAAAAAAGTCTTTAAAATCCAAAGCTATCCCCAAAGAATTCAAGACCTTTACTGAAGAAAAGCAATGTTTTCCAAACTTCCAGTTGGGACTCGATAAACAAAATCGCTATATCGCAAGTGATTTATTGTAACATTAAATGAAAAGAAAAGTATGCGAAAACGACAGCAATGCCACCTCAAATGAAATAAATACTTTTTAATGTATTTCCCTATAAGATCAGTATTGTTTTGTTTGTTTGCGTGTGTGTTTTTCTCCATTTTTATCCTGCTTTGTTCAATACTTCAATATTATTTTGTCCGTTGTTTCTTTTGACCAATACCATTTTAAAAATGCATGGCGCGCGACTCAGTGTGTGCATGGCTTACATGTTGTTTCATCAATAGGTGATGGGCTTTCTGTGTGATGAAATTGAACATTGCAACCAATAAATAATACTATAATGTGAACAATACTGTAATAGTTCCTTCCTCAGACTGTATACAGCCGCAGACGGGGACAACAAGAGGGATTTGTTGCCATGTCCTTAATGTGTTTTTTTCTTCTATCGTTTTACCTTCTTTTACCTTACCTGATCTTCTTGTTTCACCTCCCTTACCATTTGATCTGATGCTTGTTTCTGTTGATACTATTAGGGGCAAAACAAAGCGTTCCCTTCGGCAAAAAGAGGAAAGATGTGTTGTACAAAGGTAACCTTGATTAGCCTCTCGTTATAAGCTCTAGGACCTAACTACTGTACCTATTTCAACGTATCTTCGGTACCCTGCTTTGTATTTACACTACAATATAATATAATATAATATATATATATATATATATATATATATATATATATATATATATATATATATATATATATAGAATAGAATAGAATAGAATAGAATATAAAAATGCTGTTAACATACCCCTTTTTCTGCATGTTTAGAAAGACTTTCTTACATTGTGCTTAATGGCTTCTATCCTTGTGTCTGCTTTGCTTTTGGTAGTAAAAATTAATGTAGGGCATACAGCGTGTAGTTGCCATGAGTAGCAATGTTGTTACATGCTTTTTAAAGCAAATGTTTCATTATGTTATGGCAGTCGTTTTCAGTAAATATTTTTAAATCGTTATCTCCTCTAAATTTGATTTGACATTGTTCTAATATAACAGACAGTCCACTGAAGAGAACAGTGTGTTCAAGATATCAGCTGTGTTTTCGTAGTTAGGCCATGTTATCTATGATCCAAGTTCGAGTACTTAAAACCTGCTTTAGAAATATGAGCAATTCAAGTGGAACGTATGTCTTGTTTACATGTGAGCGACTAGAGAAATTCACCTTTTTTCTGTTTAAATAAAGATTGCAGGATTTACTATAAATGAGCTCTTGCTTTACAACTTCATGTATTCTAATTTTACGTGTGAGTTATTAAGCCTCCATTTGACAATAATAGCCTCTTATAAAATAAGGTTCCAACCATAGGCCTTATACTGTCTACTGCCAGTTTTTTCTTCAATGTGCGTCATTTGTCAAGCTCTCTTCTGTACCATTCAATCGAGGGTCCAGTCTAGATAACCCCAGCACCCTTGCCCCCTCCCACACTTTTCCTGACGACACCTCCCTTATACCTTATTGCCTCCACAGTAAAACCTCGCCTTTGAAAACGGCCTGATTGTGTCTCAAAGGACGTTGTATCAGTGCAACAACGAAACAACTTATCATTTTACTTTTTAAAACAATAACGCCCTTCCAAAGCAAGTTATGCCCTTGTAGAAGATAGGATTATTTGTGGCTTGAATTAGCACTTCCTGTGTTCTTCTTTCAGAACAACATTGGAAATACACGAATATGTTACATCTCCTATTCCGAAATATTCTCCAATCCCTCAAGACATTGCACAGATAATGATGCACACAAGTACATTGGGAAACCGAAATTGTCTCTCATATTCACGTTCAACATGAAACGTATAGCTTAGTCTGTTATTTCATGTTTCGTTGGTTGCTCATTATAAAACATTGTCTAATTTAGAGATGGAATTTCAAATGTATTCATTGTCTGTATAGTAACCTGATTCAATTAAAAATATATTCAAGTAGATACATTATTTTTAAGCTGTACAGTACATTTACGTATCGAAATTTCAAACGTTTCTGACAGTTTAGTTGTTTTTTTTTAAAGTAAGTTTCCTGTCTAGTGAAATAATGTTTTTAAAAATTGTCAGTGTAAACTATGATCATGGATAGTTTATAACTGTAGAGTGATTGTACACATTATACAGAATGTTACTAAATCCTCTTTCCCTCTCCCTACACACACAAACAAACATACAAAAACAAACACACAGATACACACACACACACACACGCACACACACACACACACACACACACACACACACACACACACACACACACACACACCCATACACACTCACCCACACACCCCCATAGTTGTTGCTACTGTACATCGGCCATGTTATCCCAAGCTCAGAAATACATGGTCCAAAACAAACATCTTTTATGTGTATAAATTCATATTTTCTTATTTCTTTTAAAATTTACCGGCGATTGTACTCGACTTGTGTTGCCACAAAAAGAAAACAAAGTCAGAACAAAAACCCAAAACCAAAAAACATAGTATCTGTTTTGGTCATCTCTGATATATAGATAGATAGATAGATAGATAGATAGATAGATAGATAGATAGATATATAGATAGATATATATATATATATAATATATATATATATGTATATATATATATATATTTTATACTTGAATACTTGAATACTTGAATATAGAACTAAGACTTTGGTTTCAGGAAGACGGGGTAATCCATGCTTCCTCACGCCTCTTCATAAAGGTCCATTTTAGTGCAGGCTTGCTGATTGGCCCCATCATGAGCTGGTTGTTGTAGCTTCTGGTGGGGTCATGCAGGCTGCTCCTTCTGCTTTCACCAGGCTCTACTCCTTTCTCAATCACATCTCTGATATATATATATATATATTATATATAGTACTAATCTCAGTTTCAATAATTATAATAATAATATAGTGATGTTAGATTTGTTATGTTCCCACTCTTCTTTTCTGTCGGTGTTTTTATGTTCTTTTCCTAACCTGAAACACAATAATGTAATCTTGACGATCTGTCAGTACCTCAAGTTTTCACTGTTTACTACTTACTTTAACTTTACTTACCTTTTTCATCCTATGTTGCCGTAGAGAGTCGAGGAAGGATACAGCGGGGGGTTTTTTTTCCTTCTTTTTTATCTTTTGAATCTTCTTTGTTTCTTTTGTAACTAGATTTATCCGTTTTCGTCATGTTAGGCCGGTCACGGTTTCACCATAATCTCTTTATCCAGCGACTTTTCTTGGTGACCCAGGTTGGTCTTCATGACTTCCGTTCCGACACAGGATACCCCAGCTTGGCCCTGCTTCTCCTAATTTAGCACATTCAGAAAAAAATAATAATATCGTACTCTCGCTTTGTCTGTTTGAAGTGATCTAAATAAAATAGTTATATGATGTAAAGATAGATGAAAAGAGGTGAACACACGCGTGGAAAGGCGTAGCATACCCAGTAAGTAGGCTTATTCAAACACGCACATGTTGTTAATTTTTAAAATTAATACTTTCTGTAGTGATGATGCAGTGACTTATAGCTGGAAGTATCTTTTAAAGTAAAGTTGGATTTGTAAAATAGCCACTGTCACTGCCATTTTTACTTAGATCTCTTAACCTGTAGGGCAATCATGGACCCAGTAATGGACA